AGTAAGAATTTCTTCCTCTCGATATCACCTGTCTTGCGTAATCTCGAGCTAATTACCGCGGTAGAAACCGCCGAAGTAATCGTGACAAACTTTTAGAGGCGGACGTTCTTTGAAAGAACGTAAGATAGCTGGGATTATTTTAGGTCGTGGAGAAATTGGTCGCGATGGCTAGTGACAATTGGTCGGCTGAAAACAAGCACGTGGGCACGTCGAATCCGCGAGTTCGGGGAATCGAGAATTGCATGGTTGGGAACGTCGCAACAAACGCATCGACCGAGTCAACGAAGGATCGCACAATGCTAATCGGCGAAAGAAACAATACGCGGGAATGCAGCCGCGACCAGATCACCGTGTAGATTGTTAGATTGAAAGATTATAGTTTAATCGTGGCGCGGACGCGGCTCTGTACCAATGAAATAGGTTTATTCACGCTTTATCTACGCAGCGCTCTCGTCCAGAAATTTAGGACTCTGATCTGTCCTTCCACCTGACAGCGAAGGAACTGACGCAGACTACGGAACAAGGCGAAGCTAATGCTTTTGCCAGTCGTTGAATATTCCACAGCGGTTAGAAACATAGGTCTTGGTGAGTTCGTAATTATTAGAGAAGATAGCAGAATCGTAACAGATTAAAGGAGATTAAGGCGAAAGAGGTTCGCGTAATGAAAACTTTTCTCACGTTCCACTCGCTAGAAACTTCCATTAATCCTCTCGGCACTGAATTAAATCACGTAAACGTATAAAAATTCGCCAGCTAATATTTAGTAACAAAGAAGACGGAAAAAAAAGAGAGAAGCAATCGAGGAAACGTTATTACGAATAAAATTCTTTTTATCGTTGATTATTAAGAAGAGAACGTTCGAGGACATGGAAATATGCAGAAACGCGCAAGAACAGTAGCCGAGTAAAAAAGTAGCGAAAGTAAAGAGCTCGTTACGATGTTCAGCGGATGGAAGAATCTCTAATTGGAAATTTCCATTTCTTCGGCTGCGTTCGTAAAAATATGAAACTACGATAGAGACTGCTGCATCCGCTGTCTGGTCTATGAACGTAAAAGTACAGGATTTATTATCACGCGGAAACGTATCTTAAGGCCGTTCGATTAGAGCCGTTCGTATCACGAGTTCGACGACCGTCCACTTACATTCGTATCACACGTTAAAAAGCGGAATCAGTAAAATAGCGACGGTACATCGCGATAGGTTTTGTCGACGAACGACAGACTCGTTCCTTTGCTACAGTTTTCTCGAGATCGGGCTGTGTTCATTGGGAGATGGGCTCACCGGAAGAGGAATAATAAACGACGACGATAGCCACAAAGAAACACAAAGCAACGTACTCTGTTCTTTGGCCGCTCTTTCCAGTTACCTCTCTCTCTCTCTCTCTCTGCTTTTCTCTATCCAAGTTCGACGGCCGTTTTCCATGCATCGGAGAGACAATAGGTAAAGAGGCGGCGGAAACAAGCTTCGTTTTCGACGTATGCATGGAGTCGCGTCGTTCGTATAAACGGCCGCCGTGGTTTCACTCGGAAAATGGATTTCTGCCTTTTATGGCAGAACTGGAGCGGGACCACCAGGCAAAAAGTAGTTCGGACCACTTTAACAAGGACATTTCGAGACGGAGGACGAGCTGCTCGTCCAGCCGATGCAAATCGCTTCGACACTCGTCGCCTGCTATCGAGAAATTGGAATATTTTGATGAAAAAAGGAAGAGTCGCGCCGTTTGAAAAGACGACCTTTTGTACGTCGTGGAGCTTTCTATAGCCGAACTAACAGGGAGAGTGTACGGACGATGGAACTTTCGGATAATAAAGCAATCGCTTTTACGATACTAAATTTCGTTCAAATAGAGACGAAGGAAGTTGTCCGTGCGTTTCGATGTTTAAAGACTCCGTGGTCTTTACGATATCGATAAGCGACTGAACGTGTACCGTAGAACGTCTACCGTTGAAAGAAGTCGATCAACAAGAACTTGATATGTATATCGTGTTAGTTATATCAGAAAATGTAACCGAGAAAAACGCGTTTAAAGTTTACACGTCATATCCGATGGACTGTGTACCATCCTCTGTAGACTCTATTATAATACTCCATATACAGGGTGGTTGGTAAATGGGGATGCAAGCGGAAAGGGGGTGATTCTACGCGAAAAAAGAAGTCGAAAATATAGGATAAAAATTTTTTTTTCTTTATAACGAGACGAGTTATAACGAGACGCGATAAAGTGCACGCGTACCGAGCGAAAATTCAAAGTCGATTTTCTCGAAAACAAAGCCTCGAATGAGAAATTTGTATTCTATATTTCCGATTTCTTTTTTCGCGTAGAATCACCCCCTTTCTTCTTGTACCACCAGTTACCAACCACCCTGTATATGGAGTATTACCAACCACCCTGTATAATTCGTTTTAGACTGCTCTGCATGATTTTGTAATACTAACGCTACGCGATAGACGTAATAACGTTGCAGCTGATTAAGAAGACAACGTTAAAAGGCTAAGCCAGACTTCAATGCCGGCTTACCAAGGCGTTCTTGTTCCACGTTTCCGTGGGATTATGACCGATTGCTTAATCATAATGTGGCAATCGAATCGAGGAAACGAGTATATTCGATAATTAGAAAGGATGCGAGAGCGACAACTGTCGGAGTTTGTTCTTCCTTGACGCGTTCGATAGCTGTGGCAAGGTTTCTAGAAATATCGTGCGACATTTGCCGCGAAATTGGCAGAGCTTAACGATAAAGCACGGCGCAACGAATCTGAGGAATGTATCGACGTATCTAAAACAAAGAGCAACGGATCTTATCACTGAAACTGATACAAACGCTATACGTAAACCGTAGAGACACATTGCGACGAAACAATCGATGTTGTTTCTATTATACTTTGATCGTAAAGTATCGAAACAAAGAGCGTGATTAAACAGGTTGGGTCGTGAAAAAAATTCGCGATGACTGTACAGAAATCGGAACGCAAGGTTAAGAATGCGTCAATGCAGTTCTTTAATCGCGAAAACGTGAAAGAAGACGATGCTGCGTATGGAATCGACGCTTTATCGGCTCCGATGTCGCATTCCTTCCTCAAGCAAAGTATCGCTATGGACAGACATTTCGACGCGGTAGACGGTTTAATCGCCACTAAACGTGACGCGATACAACGCGAGTTTGCGTTCAATTCAAAGCAGCGGCAGCGTTTCCGGTTGATCGTGGATAGCGCGCTCAATTGATCCTTCGACATTCCGATTGTTGCTCCGAGCAAAATTAGTCGGAACAAACAAGCGTCGCGTGCGATGTAATGCCGTTCGGAGAGAAAGCTCGTGGAAAATATTTGAATCGCTGAGAAAAAGAATATTTCTTTTTCAGATGATAAGAAACTCGACTTTTAAATTCGAATTAGAAATTTCGCCTCGAGACTCTGGAAAAATTGTCTTTAGGGACTAACTATATCGTCAGAGAATAAAAGCGTGAGGTAATAGTCAAGCAGTTTTTGAGAAAATCAGATTATTTATTAAAATTAAAATCGTTAGCCGATACTAACACCGGTCATCTTTGTGAAGAAATTAAGTTTTTATTATATTTTTTTATCAAATTCATATCATACGAGTTATTTATATAAAAAAAAAAAATGTTATTTCCTTTCGAGAGTTTCGGATCGTAAAAATAGCAGAAAGTTTCGAGAAGTCTCGAGATGTGGCGTATCACATTCCTAATGTTCTTCTCTTTCTTTTATAAAAATAACAACAACGGAGGAAAGAGTAACGAGATTTTCGTGTAGAAAATTTGCAATTCTTTTGTCATGCAGATTTCACGTAGAATAGGATACGTGGTTTAAATAAAGGTCTTTTGATCAAAGGTTTCGCAGTCGCGTTTAGCACGTTCGAATCTCAACGACGCTACCTCCATGCATTTCACGCGCGTTTTTCATCCATCGTGGTCGTTGCACCTCTCCAGAAGAGCAATACGTGTCAAGCGTGCATTCTATTAAGCCGTATATCTTGACGAGTTTTTCAACGAAAAATTGCTCGAAACCTCGAGTTTTCATCGTTCGACATCGCCCAAACAATGGAGTGAAACACGCGAATCTTTTTATTGAAAAAAGAAAGTGTTTTACTATACGAATCTCGATATCTAAGATTATCGTGTAAATTACATAATGATTTACTTGAAGAAAAATTATCAACGAGAAACGGAAGGAATCAGTCTATTTGACGAAGATGTTACATCCGCCTACGGTAAACATGGACAGAGGTGTAGACTGTAGAGGAATTAACATCAAAGCGGGGAACGCGCGCGGGCGTGCGCCTGCCGATGTTATGTACCCCAGACGAAACAGACAAAACAAAATTAAGCGGTCGTAATTCAAGGATACTCGAGAGTGGTGGACCTCTCGTTTCAAAGAACCATCAGCTGACTACGAAATGAGACTCGGTCGAATATTTGATTTGACTTGCGATCATCGATATCAACGGTCAATGGTCTAAATTTCGAAGGTCGCGTACCACTTCACACCAAATTTTGGGACACGAATAGTTTTCCAAGTGTAAATATAGATGCAAGTAAATATATAAAACGAAAGAGAAAGACGCTAGATGAAAAACTGACGAAGAAAATTAGTTCGATTTATCGGACTCTAGTTCCTACTCCTCTACGATCAATGCATGAATGGGAGAGTCGCGGTACACTCAGCAAAATAGCGGCACACATACACTCGTGCAGCGACACGACACGGCGGCAGCATCATACCTACAACGTATTAAGCGGCATGTACCCGAAAGAAGTCAAGACGCTGGTTGATCGAATCATTGACGCTGAGATACCTGACGCGAGAACGGAAAACCGCGACGTACCGTGTATATAATAGATGACACGATGTCGATCGTTAAGCACCTATACTGGACGCGACTAAAACTCGTGGAGAATCGCGCGGATCAGGACACGAGCAGTTTGACAGATCCGCAGGGTCGATGCCGCGCATTAATCGCGAAAGAACACCTACGAGAACTCACCGACGCCGTATTTAGTTGTTTTCGTCGTCGTCCACATCTCGAGCGGTTCGACAACGGCGCTACATCCCTTGCTAAACTGCCACCGACCACTCGTAGTATCACGAAAAATTCGAAAACACAAACATTGGGTGTGTTTGCCGCACAAGTGCCACCCTCAGAATTCTCTCTCTCCCTGCCGTCGAGCAACGTTGCCGATGGCCGCTGCAAGTCGTGGCTAACTGCCGCGCCGGCAACGCTGCTACTGCTGCGCCGGTCATGTGCTCTTCAGGAACGTACCTAGTTCACACACTTCTATATGCATATATATTTTACCTCGACTTTGATAGTTGCTCGCTTTCACCAGTGTATGTACCAATCGTATATACTGCCAATATTATTTTACCTTTAATTTTTATACGTTGAGGTTAAACATTTGGTACATTTATAGCAAACAACTAAACAACTAAGCATAATAAACAACTTAACAAGTATACTACCGTGTTCTTTATATTTTACGAAAAATTGTAGTCGTTTCTTTTAGGAGATCTTCATCGAGATACTATAAAATTTTATTTATGCGAACAGATCGAGGAACAAGCAGTTTTAATAATAGCAGTTCATTGTGTGTATTAATATGTAATGTATAGCACGATATAGCTACAGTTTTTTTTATTATTTTAAATATTATGATCTAACTGTTAGGATTTCAACTTCCTTCTTCGATACATAGGATCTAGTTTGAACATAAAATAAATAATTGCATATATTATAATACATTTATTATGAAAATTTGCTTATACGTGTATAATTGAAATTACACTCGACCGTACTTCGAGTAATAGGTACGTACGAGCTTCTACTCTATTTTGAAAAGTTTATTAAAATTTCTCTAAAAATGGGGAAACACAGTAGCATATTTGCTTAGTTGTTTATTACTATTATAAGTGTACTAAATTTTATTTATATCTAATTACACAGCGACCAAAATTACTATAACTTACAAGGTAAAACTCCTGTTAAGGCGGATGTTTTTATGAAATCGGGAAACTGAATTTCGACAGTAACATAATAAAAACTTATCTCTACTCTTAAGATTACCGAAATAAGATGTCACAAGGTTACAGACATCCAGTTTTATATTCTTAAATATATTCGATGAATTACCAATTTATTTATAATAAATACAATAATAAAGCAACAAAAATAAATCTACTATAAAAGATGTAATATTTCCATAAATTCCTGTATATACTTTTATTTACAGTTTTTTCCTTATATGATTAAGTGATAATGAGACCTGGGAAGGTGCTAAAAGTGTACCGCGACACATTTGAAATTAAACGTAGACTAGATCGAGGCTACGATGAATCAAAATATTAACGTTTCATAAATAATTTATCCACATACTTAAAAGTTGATAGGTTTTCCGAAATATGCAGCTAAATTGGCTTCCTTGAAGGCTTCCGCGAATGTCTATAAGAACAATGATAAAATCAGTGTCCGATATTCAACATTCGATCGAATATCGTATATCTACTTACCGGATGAGCGTGACATGTTCTCGCAACATCTTCTGCACTTGCTCCATATTCCATTGCAAGAACTGCCTCATTAATCAATTCACCAGCGTATGCACCAATCATATGTACTCCCAATATTTTGTCTGTACTCTTATCAGCTAGGACTTTAACAAAACCATCCGTGTCTGCATTCGTTTTTGCTCTGGAATTTGCTATATGTGGGAATTTTCCAACTTTGTATTCGATACCCTCTTTCTTTAAGTCTTCTTCCGTTTTTCCTACCCAACCAACTTCTGGATGTATATATATTACACTAGGTACGCAATTGTAATCGATATGGACGGCACCTGAATAAGTCATCATAATTGCTGTAAACTTTCAGGGATACAAACGGAAAAACTATAATGAGTATTTCTTAACTACCTCCGGTAATGCCCTCAACCGCAATAACACCTTCGTCCTCGGCTTTGTGAGCCAACATTGGCCCATGAATGCAATCTCCAATAGCATAAATCCTATATGAACGTAATTTTACATATAATTATGCTGACAAAAACTTTCTCAACAAAGTGTGTACTTACGAAGGTACTACTGTTTGGAATCTATTGTTTACAGGGATCCTGCCCTTTTCGTCTCGTTCGATTCCCAAATCCTCTAATCCTAAATTTTTCGTATAGGGCCTTCTGCCAACACAGACTAAAAGTGTATCGCACATTAAATCCTCCTTTTTGCTAGGATCTTTCGCGTTTTCGACAGAAACGATGATTTCACTGCCTGATCTTTTCGCACCAGTGACTTTTGTCCCCAATTTAAAATCCCATTTTTCCTTGACTAAAAGTTTTTGTACCGCTTGACTAACTTCGCCATCGATACCTGCTCCACCGATAGTCGGTAAAAATTCGACTGCTGTTACTTCAGCGCCTAATCTATAGGAGCAAATAAAGCAACTCAACATATCTCGTTTACAATTCATACAATTAATTTCAGTATGAAATGTACCTGCGCCAAACTGAGCCTAATTCCAACCCAATAACACCAGCACCAATTACTATCAATTTCTTTGGCACTGCGTTTAACGATAAACATCCAGTGGATGAAATAATTTGTTTTTCGTCGATTTCTATACCCGGAAACGGCGTGACCTCACTGCCAGTGGCAATTATAATGTTTTTAGTATTAATAGTGCTTACTACTGAACCATCTGGACCAAGTGCGCTCACTTGATTTGGACCAGTAATTTTGCCATGACCCTTAACCCATTCCACCTTATTTTTTTTAAATAAACTAGCAATACCACTTGTTAAGGCTTTCACTGTACTTCGTTTCTGCTGCATTACTTGATCAATATTAATAGAAACATTGTCAACTAAAACAGAATTGTCAAATTAGTGATTGTTAAATTATGGATATTTAAAAAGGAAAAAAAAAATGAGAAGTATACCGTTAATGCCAAATTTTTGTAATTCTCCAGCATGTGCCATGTGGTAATAATGTGAACTATTCAATAAAGATTTGGATGGAATACATCCAACATTCAGACAAGTCCCACCTAATGTTTCATCTTTTTCTATACAAACAGTTTTCATTCCTAGTTGTGCAGCTTTAATTGATGCTACATATCCACCAGGACCAGCACCTATTACAACTAGATCTGCTTCCACAGTACTAGCGTATCTGCGTTGCTGTGCAGCTGTCAAGCCAGGTACAATACGTTTGACACATGATGGCTAATAAGAAAAACAGAAAAAACAGAAAGTTATTAATTAAGAAAGAATTTTCTATCTCTGTTTGCTATCATTATATCTGTAATCCTTAAACTTTGACAAAGTCAGATGTAGGTGACATAACCAACGAAGTAAGGAGAACGTATTTTCATATCGAATAATGAATTTAACAAATCAATTTTGCTTCCTCAAATATTTAATCAATGCTTCATAAGGAAAAAATGACCAATAGCAAAGAAAGTTAGCTAAATAGTGGAATAAAATACATAACAAAATTATTTGTCCTTCAAAATGTTACGAAATAGAGTAAAATGTATGGTCTGATACGATTGTAATGTATCCACGAGGTCATTTATTCATAAATATCTTTTCTTTTTACTTACTCTGACAGAAGTGGTCACCAAACTCCAAAAACTAGCTTGCATCATCTTTTTTGTAATATACTTTACTACCCGATATAAAGGGGGTCAAAAAGGAAACAAGTTTTAGGTAGTTAGAAGCGAGCACTACCGGTTACTTCAATATCATTCAACGACCAACTTGTCTCAGCTCTGATAATTCGATATATCGTTGGATATATGGTTCGGAGACTATACTGCTTGATGGCGCTACTGACCTATTATGCAACACGAAATAACCCTTTCGTTTCGTTCATCTGATACATTTGGACATGGATAAGATGAAGAATAGATCAGGCATCTAAGAAGATTTCGTGTTTCGTGTTCTGAAATACCGATCGTATAAAAAAACAAAAGTTTCGTAATACTATCTACGATTTTATGTAGTGAGTATGTGTAGGAATTATAGAATAGGAAGTTGATAAAGTTAGACGTAAGAAGTTTCTCTTTCGTTATGATTCACATTCGAATTGAAATTTATTCAAAAGGAAATGCATACACTGAAAGATATCACTCTACTGATACTACTTATTCAAAAAGTGTTATATCTTGTTATCAAATAGTTTTATGTCTTACGAAAGTAATTATTTACGAAGGTCATATTTTCATGAATAGAAAGAAAGGAAATCATGCTTGGTTAATAGTTTCGGGGATGAAAATTTATTTATATAGTCATTAAAAGAGAACAAAAATTAACAGCTTTTATCTTAAGATTACGAAACTTTCATACATCGACGATTATCTCCTAAGATACGCGAGGTAATTCGCATATAATATATAAAATATCAACAGTATGAATTGAAATATTTTCAAATTTATATCCTGTAAATTAATCGCTTTGATGGATTTGTACTAGTTACGTTTCATTAAATAGGATTACAGCGCTCTTTGTAACGACTAGCCGCTTTTCACGTGAAAATATCTAAAAGTCATTCTACCTACGTTCTTGGATAGAAGACATATAAATGTATGAGATTTCTATTAAATATTTACTCTTCTACTGCAATTATCATATTTATCATAGAATAATTTATGAATCGAAAGAAACATTTACGAATACTTACGCATCGTTAATCAGAATATTAAGAATTTGTGCCATCTCGCGGTCGGTAAAAAATATCTTTTCGCTATCGCAAAATCGATTTACGTATGAACATCTTAACTGTAGCCGATATCTCAAACTTCTTTATTGAAACTAATTCAACGTTGATATTCACCTGATAATCAACAATATCGTTGCGATCGAGTTTACAAACTAGACCCCGTAAGCTGTAACAATTTTTATTCCCCGCCAAAAAGGGTGGCGATCGAAGAAGTAAAAAAGAGGGAGCAAGTGGAACGAATCGGCCAATAGCTAGATAGATAAAGATGAAAAGAACGTTAGGGGTCGAGAGAAAAGGGCAACAGATGTCCTTCCGTATGACGCATGACTCGTTTGGCCCTTGGCGAGATAGTACAGTTTGCGTCTCACTACCCTACGGAAGTATTGTACGTCACGGAAACGAAGCTAACCCTGTCGTTAGAAGGAACGTTCGTTGAAAACCGGTTAGTACATATTTTTCGTGTCAACAAAGTCGGTGATATTTTTCTCGTTCAACACAGTACGATCTTACGAAATGTCTTTACTAGAATCTTTCTTTTGCGTTCGTATCAATCTCACATTTGGTAATCGAACGTAATTCCATTATCAGTAGCTTATCCGTGATTGGTTGAATTTAAATTGTCTAGTACTATAGTTGAATTCGTTGCATCGTGAAAAAATAACGTTTAGTATTTTGATGACGATAAGAATACTGATCTTGAGATGTTTGATTTACGATAAACAGAAAATATGTTTCCGATAAAACGAGAAGTAATAACGATGATGTATAATTTTCAAGGTTTCGGAGGGGAATAGCTTTGAGATGTTTGATTCGAAGATCCCTAAGAAAATATGAACGATTTAATCGACTTAATTTAAAACAAGAAAAACATGTGTGAAATAGTAAAAGGTCAACGCAGAGCGTTTCGCGACCAAGACCCTCCACGGATATGCAATAAAAGCAACGAAAATTTGAAAAGCGAGCTGGAATTTTGTGAATCGACTGCAACTTCGCCGACGATTCTTCAACGAGCATCCAGCTTCGAAAGGTGCTTCAACGAGTCTAAGCATCTTGAGAAGGGCAAACAGAATCAGAAAAAAGAGAAAGTAAACTCGATCAAACAGGAAAGTACTTGGTCCGATTCCATTAAAGACTCGAAAGACAGTGCCAAGGTATCGAACGAATTGCCAACTGCTTCAAATCAGACGAACTCGGAGAATTTGATCAAGGAGCTTTCTGACAAAGTGCCTTCCAACAGCCATCACGACGATGAGGTACGTTATGCTTATTTATATTGTTGAAGGAATCTTTGTGTACTGTCATGCGTTTTGATGCTTTTAATGTATTTTCGCACGTCTGTGCACGTTTGATGATGCCACACAACCGGGCAATCTGCAAAGAACCGTGCATAATATATTGATATATTGATCTACGTGTGACTTCGAATAACGGCAGTTTTCATATTAAGTAGAAATATACATGGCGCAAATAGAAGGATAAGGTTAGGAAACTGTCATAATTCAAATGGCTTCCGTTGAGAGGCTTTTACGATTATAGAAATTCGTAGAGATATGCGTATTTTTTTAGGATTGTGGATATACTTTTTTTTACCAGTTATCAACGATTGCATCATATTTTTAAAAATGTTTCTATAAAGAAAGCGCAATGCACCTACGCATGCTTAATGCGCAAACATATACCACCTATAACCAAAGTAAATACGTTTATTTTTTAATTAGCTAAGAATTTATTAAAACACTTATAATATCGCGTATGCAATATCGAGCATAAAGGGATTAAAAATGGTCGACAGCTGACCAGTACGTAAGTCGTGGATACGTGAAGATCTGCGAAGCCGATGCAACTTATCGACTGATCGAGCATAATAACGCGAACAGATAAAAATGCAGGACGATGTAGAGGGGGGACGGAAGGCTCCGAGAACGAACAACGATCGTATCAAATTTTTAGAGCCGCTCTGTTCGAGGTAGTCTGCAGTACGAAATAGGTGTAATCAGAAAGAAATATTTTTTTCTTCGACGAACGCATCGGGACGAAAACTTAGTAATCTTATTAGGTTATTCCATAAATGAGGTTATGGTATTTATTAACGAATAATATGCTATCTACATTTTTCTAAATCTATGTTCTATTTGTTTCATCGTTATTTTCAATTTTTCTAGTCGTCAACTATAAAACTCAATAATTATTTTTAAGATACGACGCGCGAAATAAAACGAAAGACGACGTTGCTTATGGAGTGGCTGGAAGTGAAGTCGCGAAAAATATGTACGTATTCGCGTATATCACGGATGTCGAATAGCAACATCACCGTGCCATTTGATAATACGTATTACGATATTTTAACTTTATAGCGTATTGTTACAAATCTCGTATAATTATCGCGTAAGCACAGCGAGCGATATTAAGTCAAGCGGTATTTTCAATGTTTGTATGTACACCATCTGTTTTCCGTTTATATATTCACGAGGAAAGCGTACACACCGTGAATTGTGTATTTTTGGTGCGTAGTCGATGAAACGGCTGCGGCAAGTCGAATAATGGACGCGTTTACCGCGAACTTGTAAACGAGTTGCCGTTGTTAAAGACGCAATTAAGGGAACTTGTGGTCACGGTGCATAGAACACTGGTACGTGATCACAAATTTAATACGTATTTTATTCGTGTGCTTCGTATAGCCGAAATATCGGGCTTCTTTATAGCTCGCGTAATACCCCACATGCCGTTTAACGACATTTTTAACATTCCAATTGTTTATGCCACAGTCTGAAATTCTTGGAACTATTTAAATGGAAATACTTCTTAAAAACACGAATAGCTTGTCATGACGATATCGCTGTCGCAGCTGGCCCAACACTCTTGCACAGTATGTACTTGCTGTATATTTAAATCGAAGTACTGGAAAAGACCGCGAAGCAAGTGGATGATCACGGCGGATAGGATTTGAAACTAATCGGTGAGATTTCTCGCGATGCACGAACGGTATCATCAATCAAAGAAAGAGAGAGTTATTTCACGTTCGAGCGTAGTATATGATTCTGGGACGATTTACTGTCACGCGGCTTTCCGAACGAAGATTAAAGCCGTCTCTTGAGATCGCGAATCGTCCTTGAGATGAAAACGTTTCACGGAGAATTAAATTGTACGCTCGTTTGCACGTTGCACGTTATATGTTCTAGGCGCAACTGCGTTCGCCCATTCATCCACCACGAAACGACTAGGAAATGACTAGAAAATTACGAACGCTATGGCGGTAAATTTTCATCGATGACGATGCGTTCGTCGAGACCTGAGAATCGATTTGGCAACTTCTTCCGAAAAATTGTTCGAAGGGGCGAATTTCGCGAGTACAGGGCCCTAAGATAAATTAGGTTCGGACCTGCAAGATGCGGGCCTCAGGTCCGTTGCAGGTTCTTTTCCATCGAATGCCTTTCTTTGTGTGGAATTCGACTTAAGTCGTGTCCACACCGAGCTCTTTTGCACGGTCAGCATCGTTACTCCGTCTTATTTCTAAAAATTCCACTTTTGTGCGGCGCGTAAATCTATGCTCGCGGAACTTTTGATCTAACAAATGATTCCACTATGTACGGCGAATGATCGATAAACGAGACACTAAGATCGCAGTGCTGACGGCGTGATGCTTAGAATGACGGAAGTACGAGAGGAAAGTTTGCTCGAAATATACTTGCAATAAATATACTTGAATGCCAGCAGGCCATTGACCGGCTATGTTAAAATATTGACGAGGAACTCGCTATTTCGAGGCCGTGTAATTATGGTGACTCGCGAACACAGCGGCGAACGACGACTCGATAAATATTTAATCGACTTCTCGTAAGTTATCGCGACTGCTAACGAACTCGTGGATACCATTTGTTAATAAGCAAAAGGTGTATGAGACGGACGCTTGGTTTCAGAAATGCCACGAAATCCTGCATCGACAAAGATACAGACGCTTCAAAATCTCTTCGAGCTTCTTCGAGAATTACGTTTACAAAGTTTTCTTTATGGATCGCAACCTGGCACGCAGTGGAAGCCGAGCATGTAGTTAAGAAATGGTCAGAGTTGAAAGAGCATGCGAGCGTAATCGAAGATAATTGGAAGGTTGAAATTACTAGAAATTGGCGCTTGTTGAAAAAGCTGGGCCTAAGTGTAGCGAGTTCGGTGTGAAAGCAGCTTATTAAGGTCGGGCCTAGCGTGGTGTTGTTGCGTAGCTTGCCTGGCAGCTTCAGTTCGATGTTTACGCTCGTGCTTCGAACATTTTTCTCCGTGGCTACGCGCCATTCGCGGCGTGATTTCGTCCAGTATTTTATCCTTTCCTCGTGACCAACATTCTATGTGTCTACTTGTGCAACCATAATCCATCGTCACTGGAGCCAGCCATTCTAGACGAATATTTGCTCTTTCGTCTCTCTATCGGGCAAAATTGGATTCTCACAACGCGACTGACGGAACGTTGCTGGAGTAAGTTTTGCGTAGGGGTAACAGCCTCTCAGTACCCGTATATCCACTATACTCACTTATAGTTTGTTTCTTCGCAAGATAGCATCGTCTAGCCTATTTTCGTATTCTTGTCGTAACGTTGAACGCATTTCGCATTCTACCGTTTCTCTTGGAAATTTTACAAACTTATGAATGCCTGCTATAGCATCTTTCGTTAAAGAGAGTGACGTGCATTGACGTATGAAAGGCGAAGGAGACGATTAAAAAAATCGCATACGCGACAAAAGCGAAACGACCAATTTGCATAAAGCATCTTCTTAGAGTCGTGGCCATAGCCGTCGTCGTACGAGTAACCACATCGTCGTTCACAACTATTTGCATATTTCTTAATCGTTCTAAATATAAGAAGAACGTATGCTTGCACCTCGAACGAGACAATCTCATTTAATTCGATCGAAGCTACGAATTCCAAAATATCACGAGGCCATGATTTTGCAAACCTCTCTACCAAGAGGATTGGTTATTTGCTAATGTTAGAAACACAAATAGAACGAAGCTATATGCGGCGTAAGGAACATTATGCACGTGGCTATGACGATTAAAAAATATCAAATTCTTCAGGTTTATCCGTAATTTGGCAATTGAGACGCATCTTAACAAAAGCAAGCAAGTGCCCGGATACTTTCCAGAGCTATTTGTACACGTCGTGGTCCACGAATCGCCACGATATCGCAGCTAGTTGCGATGATTCGACGATCGAACGTTTCGAGTACAATTCAGAAGTTCATTGGCGTCGAACCCAGTGGATTTACCGATGCGAAAGGAATTTTCAAAAATATCCACTTTCTAGAAAAACAGGAGACGACGTTGTCTATCGGCGCCACACATGATAATGCGAAATCGTTAATGTCAACGGACTTTTGTTTGAAAATCTCCTCGTTAAAGCTATTGCGTATACGTGTCGTTCTTATTCGCACGATAGGAGCACGCGTGCCACACCCGTCGACATCTTGCCGCCCTGAACATGAAAACGAAATGAAATGAAATTCTTCGCTATTTCATAACGAAAATCGTGCCGCGTGTACGTGAACGTAGCGATGGAAATTGCGAAAGCCAGACTCGACGGACCGCTGTGTGCAACTGCGCTCTTCCTCGTTCGATTCATGGTGAATGAACTTTCTCGCTTGTCGCGTATCACCACCTTTTCGTGTTCGTGTATTTAATTAAGTCGTATCGAGCATTCGCCGTGGACGCGTTTTCACTTTCGCAACCGAATTTATCGCACGATTCCGAAAACCCATAAAACATGCGGGAATTCCATCTGCGCGCGTCTTCCGTCTCCGAGAGTACTTTTTAAATTCCATCGAGATTAACTGCGCGATATCGAGAGTACACTTGCCGCTTCTTTGCCATTTCTTTCCAATTTATGATCCGAACACGTTCACCCCGAACGAACGATGTACATAGCTGAAAGTTACGGTCGATGAATAATTAATAGGAAGTGTTACAATTTTTTTTTTTTTTAATATCTTCTACGATCTATTTTTCATAGTTGAAGTATTTGGAGAGAACATTTTGTTTATTGGATCGCTCGGTTTGGAAGTATTTTTCTAGTTGTTCGATATGAAGCACATTTCTCTGCTATTGGGTTGGCAACTAAGTGATTACGGATTTTCTCATTAGATGATAATGATATAATAGATCGTCAGAGGTAATGGAATTAGGAAGTTTCTCTTTTCTAGTTGCAGTATGTCATAGACGACAAATTGTCCTTGGTTCACTAAATTATCCGGTAAATACCGACAAGTAT